ATAAATTATATTATTTAAAATTTTACGGAATTTTTTTAGTTATGAAAATTATAAATTAATAAATAAAAGATGGAATTTATTTAATGAAAATTAAAAAATGAAATTGAAATGAAAGATAATAATATAATATAGAAGAGAGAGAAGAATATAAAAGAGTTTGGGAAACAAAATAGAAGAATGGTTGGAGTAAGTTGTTTTCATGTGATAGAGATCAAAAATGAGGTAAAGGTTGGAGATGCCGACATGAAAAACTCTTAGTAAATGCGGCAGTTTGATTTGTCGGCAATTGCGGCAAAGCTGTCGTTTTCTGCCAAATCGGCAACTTTCTCCACTTAAATCCTATCCTCCATTTAATCAATTTGTCAGATAAACAAGTGTGTGTGAAATTGCGTATCTGCCTTCTTTTTCGTTAACGTGGCATCAGGAATGTTTCTAGGAACAATATTTTTAGTAAAAATAAAAATTGTACATAGAGAGTTGTTGGTTTTAAGATTGTGCTGTCGAAAAAGTAGCCTAAAGCTGTTTTTGCTGGACTGAAGAACTTTTTGTTTCATTATTTTTCTTATAAATTAATTGAAGTTGCGGTTAAACAAACATGTGCCCAAAAAAAAGTAACTTTGCATTAGTAAACGAGCTATATTTAACTTTCAGATACTTGTTTTAACACTAATTCTAAATGTATTACTTCAACTAATAAATAGTGTCCAAGCGTCTTCGACCTTCACTTGTAGTCAACTAAACCAGCCTCAAACCTGCCGGATTAATTAAAACAAGAATTCAAACAATATGATAGTGGTGGCAGCGCCATGTTTGGCTTTTCGATTTAATCATAACCTTTAAAACGTCGCTCGTTGACGATAAAATACTCTAGATTATACCCAAATAATTACGCAAGTAGCAACTATTGTCAAAGTTATCATGCATCATCATGGCCGCATGATGAGGATTCTGTTGTATTCAATTAATCGATAACTCAAAACGGGCAAAATAAATACTTGAGCATACTTCGTCAAAATGTTACCTAATAGTACTACTACAGGGAATTTTACTTGAGTGATCAACTTAGAGGCAGTGGCGGAAAAGAGTTTATCCCAAATTAAACTGTGCATATATGCAAGGTTAAATTTCTTATTTATATATAAACATGAGATGTTAAATTTCTTTAGCTTCTATATGTCTTCTTTTTTTCAATCTTTTGAACCCCGGGTAAAAATTCTGGCTCCAATACTTCTTAAGGGGACTATACCATAGGGTGAAAATTTGGCTCCGACAACTTAGCATTACCTCATGTTGATCAAGAATGACAGATGAACCTTCTCTCCCATCGTCATTTTCTCATTGGTCTTTATGTTTTTCAGCAAACTCTTTTAGGTTCTTTCAATTGTTTGTGTTAAAGGTGTCACGTGAGTATGAAGCTAGATGGATCTTAGCTGGAAGAGAGTCTGTTAAAGTAGTTGTTAATTATGTAATTAGAAAGTCGTTAGAGTTAGTGGGAATATAATACATTGTATAAATAAGTGTACAGATGATTATTCAATACAACAGTGAAAGAAAATTTCTCATCATCTCTTTCTCCTCTATGTGATGCGATCTCTTAGCTTCATCTAGAAGCATTCATCGCAGATGCTTGACATGGTATCAGAGCTTTGTGTGATCATTGCTCTCGTCTATTTTTCCTCTGAGCTCATATGAACGAAACTTCACCTGCTTCATCTTCATCTCCTTCCCTCGAGAACATCGAATCGACAATGGCGACGGAAAAAATTGACCACACTCATCATTTGTTTGTGCATCCCTCAAATACTCCAAGCTCCGTGCTGATTCCAGCCTAATTCAATGGATCTGAGAATTACGGATTATGGCGGAGATCGATGAAAATTGCACTTCAGGCCAAACGAAAGCTAGGACTCGTCATTGGCACATGCACTAAGGATCAGTTTAGGTCAGAGCTACATGAAGACTACGAAACATGTAATGTAATTGTGCTCTCATGGATTATGAACACAGTATCTCCAGATTTACTTGGTGGAATCCTGTACACTTCTAATGCTCACCTAGTATGAGAAGATCTAAAAGAGTTGTTTGATAAGGTGAATAGGATAAGGATCTTTCAATTGCATTGAGAAATTGCTAAAATTTCCCAAGGAACATATTCAGTGTCCATGTATTTTACAAAATTAAAAGAACTCTAGGTTGAGTACGATGCGATGGTACTCACAACAAATTTGAAGGAGTATGCAGATCATCTTCAGCGACAGAGGCTATTACAATTTTTAAGTGGATTGAATGATTCCTATGTTCAAGGTAGAAGGAAGATTATAATAAAATCAACGGAACCTACCTTAAACCAGGCTTATGATCTAATTGTTGAAAACGAAAGTCAAATGAGTGCATCAGGAATTTTATCACACACTAAGTTGAACTTAATAGCTGAGAGGAATAACATTACATCATTATGGAGCTCAGCAGTAAAAGGAGGATCAATGCAAAAAACAAAAGGAATTACAACATACATCGTGAACATTGCAAGAGGAAAGGACATAGTAAACAAAATGTTACCAGCTCATTGGTTATCCAGCAGATTTTAAAGGCGGAAGAAAATAAGGAGCACCTACTGGTCACCAAGGAGGACTTACGGGTCATTCTCATCAAAGAGCACATGCTACACAACATGGAGGATTCACAGCTCAAGCTAGAGGAGGTTGTAATGTAGGGCAAACAGGTATGACTGCAGCCTTTGGGAATCTTTATGCATGCACAACACATGAGAACAACAACCATATATAGGTGCAAAGGCAAGGGACTCATAACTTTGTACATATGCAAGAGGCACAATCTCAGGGATCTACAGCAGGTATCACGGTTACATTTACCCCGAAACAATATAGTCAAATCATATAGATGCTTAACAAAGATAATGTCCTTGAAACATTAGCCATTATGGCATGTGTTATTTGTTCTTTTTTGGCTAATAAAACTGAGTACAGTTGGATAGTGGACACATGAGCAACAAATCATTTGGTATCTACCCCTGGAGTATTGTTTGATTTGTATGACTATGCTAAGTAGGGCTCATTAGTGCATTTACCTGATGGAAAATAGTTACCTATTACCCATGTTGGTAAATGCAGATTAGCACAAGGGGATATTAGTGATGTATTGTGTGTACCAAACTTCAAGTTTAACTTGTTGTCAGTTGCTAAACTAACTAGGGAATTGCAGTATTTCATGTCTTTCTATCTTATTTTTTCCTGATGCACGACCTTCACACTAGAAAGGTAAAGGAGACTGGTAGAATCCGTAATGACTTGTACTATTGGAAAAACAACATAGAGAATAAGATGTCACAATCATTGGTTGCTACTATGACTCAATCTACCGCACTGTGCCATAGGAGGTTGGAGTATGTTCCTCATAGAATACTACAACAAACAAACATTTGTAACGGTTCCAAGACAGATGCAGATAGAACTTGTTCTATATGTCCACTAGCTAAGCAAACTAGGCTTCCTTTTCCTCAAAGTACTAGTAGAGTTGTTAAACTATTTGAGCTAGTTCTGGTGATGTATGGGGCCCCTACAAATTACCTACACATGGTAGTCAGAGATTGTTTTCATTCACTAGTAAATGATTATAGTAGAATGGTCAGTATTTTCTTGTTGAGGTTGAAGAGTGATATCTCAATTGTAATGAAAGATTTTATACCATTAATAAAGACACAATTTGATGGTTCAATCAAGGTTTTCAGAAGTAATAATGGTACTAGTTCAGTAGCGTAGGAACTGTGTATCAAAGCTCATATGTTCACACTCCACAATAGAATGAAGTTGTTGAAAGAAAGAACAAGTAATTTCTTGAGGTAGCAAGAGCTCTCAGGTTTCAGGGTTGCATTCCTCTAACTTATTGGGGATTATGTGTTTAGAATGCTGCTTATCTAATTAACAGGATTCCGTCCACTGCTTTGGCAGGAAAATCACCATTTGAGGCATTATATAAGAGAAGTCCTAACCTGAAATACCTATGGATAATGGGGTGCCTGTGTTATGCCACCAATGTGGGTGCCAAAAGTGACAAATCTAGAGTAAGAGTAATCCTAGTAGTGTATATGGGATACTCTACCACTCAGAAGGGTTATAGACTGTATAATCTAGCTAATAAAATGTTCTTTGTCACCAGAGATGTCTCATTTAGGAAAGATGTATTTCCTTTCAGGTCCTCCTGTTATCAACTTCGACCACCTGATCTTGTGGATTGTTGGGATGATTGTCACGATCTTTTCGTTCTTGAAACTACTATTGATGCAGCTCTATTGGAGCCTTCATCTGCAGCTGGGACATTTTTTGTCCCCTCCAATTCTCCTGTTCATACTTCTTTGAACTTAAAAGATTATACAGCTGGTGCCTCTGAAAATGCCACTGGACATACTCCTCCAGTTTCCATGCCTGATGTTGTATTAGTTCATGATGCTAGAACTGACTTTCCCATCCTTAGTGAGGGTTCTCATGATGGTGTAACAAATGTTGTTGTTTCTCCAGGTTCTTGTGAACCTACAGGCACAATGAAGTCATGCAAAACCTCCAAGACTCCTAGCTAGCTTAGTGACTATGTTCATAAGGGATCTAAGCCCACCTCTCATACTATAGTGGGCTCAGCTTATCCTTTGTCAGCATATATGTCATATGCTTCACTTTCAGACCACTATTACAAGGTCATCTGCAACATATCATCTGTTACGGAACTTGACACTTATGTAGAAGCTCTTCATGATCCACATTTGGGTAGCAGTTATGCAGCAATAGCTGCAGACCCTTCAAGACAATCAAACTTGGTAGTTAGTTGACCTTCCTCCTGACAAGAGGGCCCTTAGTTGTAAATGAGTATTCAAAGTCAAATACAATGCTAAATGAGATGTGGATAGATACAAAGCTCGCTTTGTAGCCAAGGGATATACTCAGCAAGAGGGGTTGGATTACCAAGAAATCTTTTCTCCAGTGGTAAAGATGGTCACTGTGAAAACTGTCTTGTCCTTGGCTGCTATGCATGGTTGGAGGTTGCGTCAGCTGGATGTGTTTAATGCATTACTCCGGGGTGATCTTGTGGAAGTTGTTTACATGGTTCTACCTCCTGGTCTTCTGGGACATGGGGAGTGTGGGAAAGTATGCAAGCTACATAAGTCTTTGTATGGCTTGAAATAAGCCTCTCTACAGTGGAATCTCAAGCTTTGTGAGGCCTTCTCTCCTCAAGTTTTGTTCAAAGCCATCATGATTATTCCCTCTTCATTAAAAGGTCAGGGCATGATCTGGTCATCATCCTGGTTTTGTGGATGATCTTCTCATCATAGGTTCTTCTCCTTCTCCCATTCAAGCAGCTAAACTCATGCTCTATCATATTTTCAAGATCAAGGATCTGGGGATATGAGATGCTTCGTTGGTCTTGAAATTGCAGGGAGCACAGATGGAATACTAGTATGTCAAAGGAAGTTTGCATTGGACCTTATTGCAGACTTAGGACTGGATGATTCTAAGTCTGCTGACATACCTATGGTGGTCAATCATAGGTTCACCAGTGCAGAATTTGATCACAGCTATAAGACTGGGGGCAATAATGATGAGTTGTTGTCTGATCCTACTGGCTATCATAAACTGGTAGGGAAGTTGCTTTACCTAACTATGACTCAACTATATATAAGCTACAAAGTGCAGAACCTGAGCAAATTTATGCATAGACCAAAGAGATCACACATGGAAGGGGCGTGGTGAAGTACTTGAAGAATGCACCTGGTTTGGGCATTTTATTATCTTCTAAGCCATCCTCACAACTTACAGTCTACTGTGATGCAGTCTGGGCAACTTGCCCCGTGACAAGAAGGTTAGTAAGTGGCTTCATAGTCAAGCTGGGTGACTCTTTGATTTCTTGGAAATCAATGAAGAAAAGTACAATGTCAAGAAGTTCAATAGAGGCAGAGTACAGAAGCATGGCCAATACAATTGCAGAAATAGTTTGACTCATTGGACTGTGTGACGAACTGAAGGTGAAGCTGGAGTTGCCTGTTACGCTATATTGTGATAGCAAGGCAACACTTCAAATTGCTGCTAATCCTATCTATCATGAACGAACAAAACACATAGAAATCGATTTTCACTTCATTAGGGAGAAGATATAAGAGGGGTTTATACACATAGAACATATGCCCACAAGCTTGCAACTAGCTGATATTTTAACTAAAGATTTAGAAAAGGTGCATCATGACTTCTTATTATCCAAGCTGGAAATGTTCAATTTGTTCTTATTAAACATCTTGACTATGAGTGTTAAAGGTGTCACGTGAGTAGGAAGCCAGTTGGCTCTTAGCTGGAAGAAAGTTTATTAAAGTAGTTGTTAATTATGTAAATTAGAAGGTAGTTAGAGTTAGTTGAAATATATTGTATAAATAGGTGTACAGATGGTTATTCGATACAACAGTGAAAGATAATTTCTCTATCTTCTCTTTCTCCTCTATGTGCTGCAATCTCTCTCAGCTTAATCTAGAAGCATCGATGCTTGACACTATGTTTTTGAATATTATTGACTTTAGTATCAAAATGGACAATCTTCTTACTTTGCGAGGAACATAGTATAGTATCCAAAATAACGCGATATAGGGATGACCAAACCCTTTCAAGACATGAACCTAAATTGTGACTGGTTTAAACACTTCTTACTTTTGTAGTTTTGTTGCTCCAAAATCGGATCAAAAATATTGTTGATGTTGAATTGTTAACTTTTTCTTAGCTTTAAATCATGCCCTCCTTAATTACTTCGATTTTAAGGACATTTTAATATCTTCTTTTTTAAGAAGTAAAATTGAGTTATAATATGAAAAATAAACAATATAAAATAAATCAACATGCGAAATGAATTAATTCAAATACATTAATAACGTATTTTGGGTAGTTTATTATACAAATCATAAAATTATTCTGGATTCATGTTTACATAATTGGTTTTGTGGTCGTAATCACGTTAGAAAAGTTTTAATGTAACGACACATTGAAGTCCAGGGAAAACTATATATGTGCGTGTCTCTGTACTTTACTAACTAATCTAACCAATAAACTGTAGGTTTAGCTTTAGATAGAAGTAATATAAAATTCTTCTGCACTATTAATTAATAAAGAAATAATCACAAGTAATTCTTGTAAAGTATGGATAAGTTGGTCATCCGAAAAATAAGATCAATAATATATAAAATAATCGATTCCAGTACGTTTTATGATATTAAAATTTGTTATAACGTGAGTACAGATAATTTAAATTTATAAAATATAGTATTAGACGTCCATTTAACGGATGAAAATAAAATACATATGTGAATTATAGTTTCCCCAAAATAGTTTGTGGGAGAGCATTCTCTTTCTCTTTAATATACAACAGTGACCAAGGGGTTCAAACTTTAAGCAAATCAATTTTTTTTGTAGATGAACTGTTTGACCAAAAATATAATCGTTTAGTTAAACTATTATTTTGTATGTAACAATGGGCTAAACCTAGTTAGTAATAATATCTCTAGATATAGATAGAGTTGTCAAAACGGGTCAGTCCAGCCCAGCCCAAGCCTCGTGGGCTTTTAAACTTGGTGGGCTAGGCCGGCCCGCCCCACCATATGAATGGGCCTTAAAATGGCATGGCCAGCCCAGCTCTAAAAGGGTCGCGGGCTAGGGCGGGTCGGCACTTCAATTTTTTTTAGAAAAAAAAAATTCTTTAAATTCTTAAATATTTTTTCGTGACATAGTCGATTAATCATATAAACAACTTCTATTTGTTTAGGGTGTACAAAAAGACTGATATTTGACGAAGAATCTCGTAATTGAAATACAAATTCTTTATATCTCTTGTTCTTCTTTTTTAAAGTTACATGAATATTTTCTTAATACCTTTCTTTCATTTTCCTCAGATTCAGGGATTATTTTAACAAGTTTATATGCTAAGGTTTTTTAATGTAGGATTAACATCATTTGTTGATTTCGTCATTATAGTGCATAAAATTTTTAAAATTCTTGAAATTTGCTAGTGGTCAATTTTTTTTATGTATTTAAAACTGATCTTTATCTATATTGAAGAGTAGTTAAAATATTGTTAATATATTAAAATAATCCAAACTGATCACGGATCACTTAAAGTAATATTTTCTTTTGAAAAAAAGATTTTACCAGCTACCTAAGACTTTTCGAGTTCGTTATTAATTAAGCCAAAAAAAATTAATTTTATCATATTACATGCATATAAAAAAATCTAAATCCTAGTTGATATGGAAAGGTAAATGAGCAATTTAGGGTTGGGAAATGGGGATTATAGTTAATAGTTTTTTTTTACTTTTTACTTTTTACTTTTTTAAAATATTAAATATTTAATACTAATTAATTTGAATTTAATTAATTTTTGGCCAGCGGGCTGACTTGGGCTGGACTTAAGCCTCAGTTTTAAATGGGCTCAAAAAATCCTAGCCTAACCCTACCCAAATAGCAGGCTGGGTTGGGCTAGCCTCACGGGCCAAGCCCATTTTGACGGCTCTAGATATAGATCTTAAAAATACGGATGATGCAGGACAAAGTTAGTGGGAGATCAAAAATGACATGCATTTAATATTCAAAAAGGTATAAACAATAATGGAGGAGTAACTAGCAATAAATAATATTAAATGACATTTAAGTAAATAGGAGAAGTGATTCACCCAATAATGAATTAGGTAGATAATTATTCCTCCTAACAATGATAAGTGACAGATAAATTCTAGAATGTTTGAACTATTCTCGGATCTGATGAAAAAGTATGGAATACGGTGAATAAGAATATTGATGAACAGGTAATGTTTGTATCTTTTCTAGAGAGAGAATCTTTTATGAAAAGTGTTCTTATCAAGTGAATATTACATGCCTTATATCTTTAATATCCTATTACAAAAACTGGATGTTATTACTTATTATTCTATCTTTGGTGCTCGACCTCGATCTTTGTTGACAGCCCGACTGCGAATCTCATCGCTTCTTGGTCGACCTCGGCCGACACTTTCCTTAATGCCGTTTTACGTTAAATTTTTTAGGGCAGATTTTGGTTTATACATGAATGGTGTACCAAAATTTTTAAATCAAATTACACATTATTTAATTAAACAATAAAAAATACTTATAATAGAATTAAAATTTTATAAACCAAAGTTACCATTTGAAAAAATAACAAATGAATTTTTACTAATAAACCTAAGCATAAAACCAAAGAAAAAAAAGAGAGTTGAGAGGGTTTGCAGCATGCAATGAGCTTTTGTTGATTTTTTTTAAATAAGTTTGACGATTAAACTATAAAATTTGTTTAAGATATAACTTTTGTTATAAACTAATTTTTATTTTACAAAATTTTAAGTTTAAGACTTATTAATTAGAAAATTCTTTAGATCCAAAAAGAGTCAAAAAGACCACACATGGAAGCTTCATTTAGTTTTGGCAAATCAAAAGGACGGATAATTTTGCACCTTTGAACAACTTAAATAGATAGAATCTCTCACTCAATTATGCTAAAGATATTTAAAATATAATATAAAAATTATATAAAATAATATGTAATTTATATATATATATAATATAGTTTACCGCGAAAGATTATTGCTTGACCATCCTTGACCTAATGTGGCTACGATTTACATTACATGAAAAGGGAAAGGAAATTCTATGAAATAAAAAAGGAAAACACAGCCCCATTACACAAAGGATAGGAACGAAGATGACGTATCCTTGAAAAATATAAAATGAAATGAAAATGTCGGGAAGATTCCGCAGACACGGCTAAAAAAGCCTCCTCCTCCCTCATCCATCTGCGTTGCTCTCAGCATCTTCTCTCTCTAAAAGTCTTTGATTGAATCAGCTGGCTATCTTTACAAAAACGCGTAGACTTTTGGACCCACACGTATTCATTCCTCTCTCTCTCTCTCTCTTTCTCTTTCTCTCTCTTCTCTCCTCCTCTGCACTAAATTTGCCAGAATCCAGCAGGGTTTTTGTAGTTTTTACCCAGGGGTTTTCTCCTCTCTCTCTCTCTCCTCCCCACACTGCCACCTCTCTCCTCTCTCTTTTCTTACAATTCAAGTTTCTTTCTTGATCACTCCCTTGTTTCGGTGGCTCCTATAAAAAGGAAAAGATTTTATCTTTTTTACTATCAATTTTTGATACTTTTTGTTTAGGAGCTTTGTATTCATGGCTTATCAGATGAGTCCAGGTGGTAGTAGTGGTGGTGGTTCGGGTAATTCGCCGTTTGTGGGTCGGGGCCCATACGGGGCTGGAGGAGATACAACTTATACAAAAGTTTTTGTGGGTGGGTTGGCTTGGGAGACAAAGAGTGAATCACTGCGCCGTTATTTTGAGCAGTTTGGTGATATTATTGAAGCTGTTGTCATCACTGATAAACATACTGCCCGCTCCAAAGGCTATGGCTTTGTGAGTCTTCTTTCTTTAATTCCTACTTCTTTATTTGCTTTTTACTCATGTGTAATTCCTTTTCTCGACTCACTTTTAGCAGTAACTTTTACTATTATTATTATTATTACTGAAAGATTTGAACTTTGCTTCATTTATGGGATACATGCCAAAGGTGACTTGTCAAATTTGATACGTTAATGAATAGTTTTAAGGCAAAGACAGCTGTCTAGTGCGGATGCTTTCTTGTACGACTGGCTTGGATGAGCTGGCCATGTTAACTTGCTAGGTTCCTGCACAAGGAGTGACACTTTCTTATTACTCGCTCCGTTTCAATGAATTTATTTGACTGGATACGGAATTTAAGAAATAAAAGAAAGACAATTTACATTGACCTTAATTTATCATAAAGTTTTGAGGAAGCTTTGCTCAAATTGGCATTAATTCGATCCAATGTACAATTAAGAGATATGTGCATGTTATCTGGCAGTGATTGTCTCTTGCTACATGGCAGAAATCATGCGTAGCATGGCATTCTTGGCCCTCATTTTAGTGTGGAATTGAGTTGAACGTAAAAGTATTAAGAATAATATGTGTTGAAAGAAACAAATTACCGGATAATTGCAGTCCAAAAATACATTCTCTTTAATTATTAAGATCATTCATGGCCATGTAGGTGGATTAATATCTGATCAAAACTTCTGCGTCCTCTTTCCAACTATTTGCTTCGTTATGGTGACAACATACATTCTGGATAATGTTCAACGGCTCAATTTTTCTGATCACCATTTCTCATTTGCGAAATGCTGATTTGTTTAATTAATATGGAAATTAGGTGACATTCCATGATCCTGAAGCAGCTTGGAGGGCTTGCGCCAATCCTAATCCAATTATTGATGGCAGAAGAGCAAATTGTAATTTGGCTTCACTTGGACGACCTCAAGGAGTTTTACCTTATGGTACTATATTCTCATTTTGATAATGCATTATTTCACTAGCCATTATCGCTTCTTTTTGCTCCCTTTTTTTGGCACTTTCAGCCTAGTCATTCATGATTCAAGTGAGAATGGTTGGGAAAAATATGTCAATTGATCTATATTTGATGTTATCTTTTTCTTTCTTCTCCCACCTTACTAAACAAAGGCATTAAGTGAAGGTGCATAGATAGGGAGGACTGATGCTAATCTAATTTTATGGAGAGATAGACGGCGGAGCCAGCAATAATCTATCTTTAAGTTTTGAGAGCGTGTATAAACCTTCTTTCAAGAGATGGCCTTTTCTTTTGGTGTAGCAGAGCTGGTCTACCTTTCAAGAGATTGGACGCTAAAGTAACACTATTGTGCTAATAATAAACCAAATAAAGATAAACAACAATGGTAATCCTAACAAAAAACTAAAATATAATGTGATTCAGTTAGCATTTTGGTGCACCGTGGCAATTTGACATTTATGCTTTTCTTTATCCTCCCTTTAATTTTGATTATCTTATAGGACGTTTGAGATCATCAATGCCCTATCTGGGAAATCCACAGGCCATGAGGGGTATGTATATGGGCAACCCCATTTACCAGCTACCAATTCCTTACAGCTATCAGCCTGGATTCTCATATCCTCAATATAGGTCAGTACTGACTACCCGAGCAGGGGATCTAATACTGGTGTTTTCCGTGCAAATGTCTAATTTTAGTTCGCTCACGTGGTATGGGTGTTTCTCCGCGTCATGAGAACAGCAGTCTGATATAATATTCATTAGGAATCACCAGAACCAGCATTTATTTTTTGGGGGAGAAAAAAGAGAGGGAGAGAATCATCTGATTTATGTTTTCCGATTATCCCAAGTGCTCAGTAATGGGAGACACCTCATTATCATTGAGTTGATATATTCTTATCTGAAACTTGAAAGTTTGGTGTGTTGCTCATTAGATGAGAGGGGACCATGGCTAAATCAAAAGCTGATATAGCAAACTTTGTATGAAAAGATATATGTACAGCTCTTTTTTGTGGTAGAAAATCTCTTTCTAAAATTTTTGTCCTCATGCACATATGATGACTTCTAACTCCTATCAGACTTTTGAGATACTTAATAGTTATTTCATCTAAAAGTTGCCCGAATTGATGAATTAGCATTGTAATTTCACAACTTTCTCTTTTCTGTTATCTTAACTTCATGTTCTGCAAATTTAATTTTATGAAAAAAAGGCAAATGATTGAATTTTTCTCTTTATCAAGTATTTCCTTAAAACAAAAACAACAAGTTGTTGTGAAGCAAGAAAGACATGCTTTTACTGTGGCACTTCCTTCTGTTAAAATATTTCAGTCTGGTGTGGGAACATCTATATATTTGTATATTGATGTTTGCCTACGGATCTTTTGATTTGATTAGAATTTCTAGTATCAGCTATGTTGTAATCATGCTCATGAATACATTAACACTACCTGAAATGCTCTAGCGTTCTCATTTATTATACCTAATTTGTCCTTCTTGATTGGCGTATTGGTAGGTTTCCTGCATATGGGCCAGACTACGTCTATCCACAAGTAAGTCTACTTTGCAAAATGTTTAAATAACATCTGTTTCTCTTTCTTTCGTCGTTTCCCTCTTACGAGGAACGTTAAGGCTAAATTTTAGGAAGAGCTAGTGGGCATGTGATTATACGCATCACTTTCCATCCAGGGCTTTATAGCTATTATCTTTGCATTTCATTCAGATGTATGGGATACCAAGTACTGTTGGCACGAACTCATTGCAATTTGGCCAACTTGGTATGCAACCTGGCAGTCCTGCATACGCATTTCGTGGTCATATGATGCCAGGTCCTCAGATGGTGCAATATCAGAGACCTAATACTAACGGAGCTACAACAGACAATGTTCCTGTCATGCAACTACCATATCATTCAGGTACGACTTTGGTAGGAATTATTTCCTGCATTTTGTGTGCAAAACAAAAAAGGGTTTCTAAAATAGAAATTACTTCAGTAGAGTTTTTCATTATGAGCGATGATGTTTCTAAAAAATTTGGTGCAAAGGAATAAGCTTTTAAGTCCCAATTGTCACACTTCACCAAATAGTTGGACAACACAGGGCCTGAGAATCATTCAAATTGGAATTAACTTGATTTTTGCACCCATTATCAGAAGATCTGTTGAATGTGCTTACTAGGTAAGTGCAAGGCATTGAGATAGGATGAAGTCATACCAGCCCTAATGCACCAGATCCCATCAGAACTCCGAAGTTAAGCGTGCTTGGGCGAGAGTAGTGCTAGGATGGGTGACAACCTAAGAAGTCCTCTTGTTGCATCCATCTTTTCCCCACTTGTGGGATTACACTGAGTTTTTTTGTTTTTTTTCTGTTGTTGTTGAGATAGGATGGAGGATTGATCGCATAATAATTCTAACATACATATCAAGACATACAGAAAATGGTGGCTTTAACAGCAGTAACATTAATGACTTTTTGACTCTCAACCATGTAATACTAACACAACCCAGAATGACCAATTGAGATATTGTTTTTTTGGGGGTTTAAATCTAAGTATTTGGGAGTGAGGGTGGTTCAAGATTTATTGACCTGCTGAGGTTGATCTGATTGTTAATAAGGTACTGCTTACCTGCTTTCCTGAGTTGTCAAGGTGTAAATAAGCTTACATCTCAAGAAAGCGAGCAATTACTTTTGTAGCTATGTCCTTAACAAGTGCTCGTACTCTGCGTCATCTTTTACCCCTCTTTTCGCTCTCTACAACATTTGAGCTTAGTTGTAATGAAATTTGTAGTACTGAAGGGCAACAAGTATTACATTGTCTAAATACCTATTATGTGGTCTGAGTCAGTAAGAATGAATTTAAGCTGTTATCTTTTTGTAGTGAAGCTGCTTGATTACCCCGTTTCTTCAGGCATCACCATGTCGTCCCCTCGTCAGTCACAGATTGCAGCTCGCCCACCACAATTCACGCAGAGCAGTGGGTCTGACCAAATGGCAGGTTGAATTGTTGAAGGAACTGGTGTATCACGGTAAGGAGATCATGATACTCCTCTTAGTCTATGTGGCTTTGATGTAGTTTTACCCTGAAGATAATACACACGCTTGGATTTGTCTGATGTTGCTTCAATTGCAGGATGAATTCAAGGATTTGGCTCGCTCTATAACTTGTGTGGTAGACTTGGAATATGACCTTGAACGTCAGCGGGGAGGCAACAAAGAGGTAGTAGATCTCCCTCGGAGGATTTTCATCAGTAGTCTTTTTCAACTTTCTCGCTCAGATTCTAAGTTAAATATGTTCCCGGTTTAATCCCAAATTCTTTTACTGTGTTGGGGGTAGTTATGGCTGGATGAATGAATATACTCTAAATAATAGTACTATTCTTTTGTGAATTTTCCTTGAGAAGCTCCTGGCTGTAAGGATACAAGAGAAAGATCTTAATTTTTGGTTTAGTCTGCGCTCTCTATTTATTCTTGCCCTTCTGTCACCGTGTGGGACAATGCATTCTGGGAGAGTTGTAATGTGGTTCCTTTCCATCCTGAGCCGGATGCCCTAATCATCCACTATTGTTGTTGCCAAGAGGTGTACTCATAGCTGAAAAGTGAAAACGTTGGAAACATTGTAAAATCTCAATTTTCATTTTGAGTATCTAATGTATCTAGAAAAAAAAGAAACTCCCTGCACAGCCTCTTGTCCACAGAAAAAATTACTGTCTATTTTTTTTTTTTTTTTTTAAAATGTAGTT